TAGTTTCCCCTGTAATTACTCTCATTGGTTCCGTTTGGGTGACATCTACATTTCCTATTATAAACACGACTTTGACTTTTGCATTAGTTCCTGAGGAATCTTTGTTCCGTGGTACTTCCATCCTTGCTACGTGTGCGGACGTGGGAAAGTAGTTTCCGTGGAGGTTCTCTGATTATTTTTATAGTCAAATCTTGGTCGATTGTCCTAATTCTTGGTTTAATATTTGCTATAAATTCCCCCGAGAATTCCGTCTCGTTGATGGTAAGCTTGAAGTATTTTTGTTATTTTTCTTTCTTTCGATTTATCGTGTATAGTCATAATAATTCGTAAAAATTCGTAAAATTCGTTAAAATTCAGGTCCTTCTATGTTCTCATATCTACTTGTCGTATGAGGTTTTGTGATTTATCTGGCATATTTCCATAATGGGTTTCCATAGTGTGGCCGTTATTTCTCCTACAGCGGAGATGATGTGGCTTCCTCCACGTGACCCTGGCCGCATGTATATAATAGTGCCTGGGGTGGGAACAGAAGAAGCAGCCTTCTTCTCAACTTCCCACTTCAGGTAAGTACTGTAGCTTTTCCCTTTTAATGATAATCTCAACTTCCCACTTCAGCTTAAGTGGTCAGGGACGCTCACCCCGTGACGGGATCGCCGCTACGCACAGCTGCTACTCGTCCCACCGAGTCCTGCGTGCAGGGACCTCGCCGCTTTCGGAGCTGTCCCTGACAGCAGAAGAAGGCTTCAACCTCATCTCCCCTGCCTCCCCCGCCATGGTGACCGAAGAGCAGTACGATGAACTGCTGTCCTGATTCCACGAGCTCCAGGCCATCGTAGAAAGCCAAGCTCAGAACCAACCCCCAGCCGTGCCTGCACCGGCGCCGGTCCCTGCACCAACACCAGCACCCGCCCCTAGACCCAAACCGCCTAAAGTCGCCCCCCCCCACTGCCTTCTCCAGAGCAGCTGAAGACCTTGACCGCTTCAAGGCCGAATGCGGGATATATTTCCACGTCTGAGCAGCAGAATTCCCCAACCCCCTCTCCCAGATCCTCTTTGTCCTGTCCTATATGAAGGGAGGGACTGCAGGGGCGTGGGCCAGCACTTTGTTAGAACCGGGCAGATTCGGACGACTCCGGAGTGGAATTGGAGACTTAGTGTGGAAGGACCTCAGCCTCAGCAACTCAGGCGGAGCGCTGTGCCATTGCTGGTTGTCCTAGGGGTCCCTAATTTTGGATCTAGCAGAGGGAAAGTCTCTTGTGGGGAATTCAGGTCAATTTCGGACTGAGGTTACAAGTTACTATGTACATTGTATATAAGGAGGGGTCCGGAATCAAAAGGAGCGAGGGTAGGATGAAAGGAGACAAAGGGAGCTGGAAAGAGGAACAACACCGAGGGTCAAGGGTTTGACTCAATGGTGTTTCCCAAAGGAGGAGTGAAGGGCCAAGGCCCAAGGAGGAAGGAAGGAGGATGGGAGTGGGGAATGGCTGACTGACTGAATAGAAAGGAAGCAACAGCCCAAATAGGAATGAGGGAGAATAGCAGAATTGAATGGAGCAATGCAATAGTTGCAAGGTCCAAAGTAAGTCCGGAAAGTCCGAACTCAGAAGTTAAACTCCAGAATATTGGCAAAGGCAATTAAATGGAATGAGCTAACCAATACAATGGGTATAAGCGGAGGTGGAGTCAAAGTCTGAGGTTGGAGCTAAGACTGGAGGTTCCGGAGACAGAGATGCAAACGGGATTCCGGAGTGGAGGTCCGGAGTCGGGAGCATAGGTGTTGCATACTCATCTGGAAGGTGTTGAGGTTGGGGTTGGACCTGGAATGTTCTGGAGTTGGACCGAAGGTGGTGTCAGAGCCGGAGGTGGGATAACCTCTTGGAAGTTGGCAAGGAGAAGGTGATGGAAGGGAAGTAGGACTCCGGAAGTCAGGTTTGGAGTTCCGGAGCCTGGAGCAGAGGTCAGGATTGTATGGATATGACAAAGGGGGTCGGAATTGGAACAAAGGCATCCGAATGGAGACAAGGGGATGATGGAAGCAGAGCGGTAAAGGTCATGGGTTAGACTCTGTGGTACATCCGAAAGGAGGTAGGGAGGGCAAATGTTAGAACCGGGCAGGAACAGACGACTCCAGAGTGGAATCGGAGACTTAGCGTGGAGGGACCTTGGCCTCAGCAACTCAAGCGGAGCGCTGTGCCATTGCTGTTTGTCCATTTGGTCCTTAATTTCACAGTAGGTGAGCAGGAAGTCTTAGGGGGCATTTCAGGTCGATTTTGGACTGAACCAAAATGAGTATGTACAAGCGCCGATATATATAATGGAGGGGGCAAAAGCACAAGGAAACAAAGGGGAACCGAATCGGAACGAAGACGTCCGAACGGGAACAAAGGGTAGAAGAAGCGGAACGGTACCGAAGGTCATAAGGCAGGACCTGTGATACGTCCGAAAGGAGGTAGGGAGGGCAAGGCCCAGAGGGGCAGGAGGATGAGGAGAAGTGGGGATGATGACTAACTGGCTAGAATGGAAGGAAGCAGTAGTCCAAATAGGGATGAGGGGTAAACGCGAGAAATACATTACAGGCAGCGAAAGTGCCGAAGGCAATCCGCGAAGCTCGGAGGTTGCAGAGCTTACAGAGGTTACGGAGGTGGGGTTGAAAGTCTGAGGGATATTGGCAATGGTGTTTACGTAGTATAAGGTCACCAATGCAATGGACTAAGACCGAGGTGGAGTCAAAGTCCGAGGTCGGGACTATGACGGAGGCTCGGAGCGAAGGTACGAGCGGTGTCTGAGTAGGAAGTACGGGAGGCGGCAGAAGGTCGTATCTTGGCGGAAGGGTGGTGGAGGAGTACCAGAGGGAGGAGAGAGGGGAAAGGTAAGGGAGATGGAGTGGCGGAAAGGAGAGTAGTCAGGTCCGAAGGTGAGTATCGGAGTGGACAGGGGAAGCGTAGGAGGGTGAAGAAGTAGTAGGAGGGTGGCGAGAGGGGTGGTGTTCGGTCCGAGGTGAGTATTGGAACGGACAGAGATAGGGTCGGAGAGGTAAGGAGGAGTAGAGGTGGCGTGGGGGGGTAAAAGGAGGTGTGTTGCCAGGACCGAAGGTGAGTATTGGAATGGCAGTGGTAGGTTATGACTCTGGAGGTGAAGAGGGTGGAGGTCCGGAAGTCGGGTCGGGGTCGGGTATGCACGGATATGACAGTGAAGCCCAGAGGGGCAGGAGGATGAGGTGAAGTGGGGTTGATGACTACATAACTGGCTAAAATGGAAGGAAGCAGTAGTCCAAATAGGGATGAGGGGAAAGTGCAAAGGATACAGTACAAGCAGTGAGAGTGCTGAGGGCATTCTGAGGTAGCGGAGCTTACAGAGGTTATGGAGTCCAAGTTGGAAGTCTGAGAAATATTGGCAATGGAGTTTACATGAAGTGAGGTCACCAATACAATGGACTTAAGCTGAGGTGGAGTCAAAGTCTGAGGTCGGAACCATGACAAGATCTCAGAGCAAAGGTATGAGTGGTGTCCAAGTACAGGGTACAGGACTGTGGTGGAAGGTCATAACTTTGGTGGAGGTTGGCAGAAGAGGGGCGGAGGAGAGGAGTAAGAGGAGTAAGAGGAGTGATGTCAGGTCCGAAGGTGGATATCAGAGTGGATGGGGATAAGGTAGGAGAGGGACGGAAGGTGAGGAGAGGAGTGGCATCATGTCCGAAGGCAGGTATCGGAGCGGATGGGGGTAAGGTAGGACTCTGGAGGTGGTGGAGAGGGTCCGGAAGTTGGATTGGGATCAGGTATGTATGGATATGACACACTGCATGCTTCGTGCGCCGCATGATCTGGCCCCAGATCCTGCCCTCATGTGACTTCCAGGTATCCCCAGAAGTTTTCGCCATATTGGGGCCACTGTGGGAAAGTGAGAAGTTAACCTTCTTCTCACTTTCCTACCCACAGTATAGTTATGCCCTGAGATGGGCTGTGTTTACAGGTTAGGCTGTGGGCCATAGAGAGGGGTCATGGGGACCCGGGGTTCATCCCCTGACACACCACTCCCTTCAACATTACTATACCCTGTCCCAGTTCCCTCCACTGTTCCACTCCACTTCCACTTCCACTGCCCCTGCTCTGGACTAGTCCTTGACACTGGCACCCTTTGCCATCTCCACCCCAGATGCTTGGACCTGAGCCAGAACCTTCTATCCATTTCATTTATTGGAGTCACCCAATATTCCTTGGATGTGTAACTCCAGTTTCAGAGCTATGTATCTGCATCCCCAGCGACTCTACCCTTCACTTCTTGATTAGTCATCTTCTGTTTCTCTCATGACTGATGTCTTCTTTCAATTCAGTTGGCTAACCTTGGTTACCCATTTCTTGTTCCCATTCATTCCTTGGCCTTCTTCTCTGCCCTCCTTGACCTGACACCTGGGTTCCCTGTTCAGGTTATCCCTTGGCACCTTTCAGAACCTTTCAGTACCTTTTGGACTTTGTGTAAAGTCCTCTATATATACCTGTAGTTCAGAAACCATTGTACCTTAGTGTTAGACACTGGTCCAGGGTTGGCACCGAAGGTCACCATTGCAGGCCGCTATAGGCTGCGATGGCCATGATGCTGTGAACAAGGCCCGAGGGTAGGGCATTTGGCCTCAGCGACTTTAAAGGAGCACTGTGCCCCCTAGCTGTCTCTTGGCCCTCATTTCAGACTCACTGGGGTTGCCTTGCTGGGGTCAGGACTTGGGGGTCATGGTCAAATCGATATCAGAGCTAAAGTACTATAATGTATCATACAGGATATATATAGGAAGAGGAAATAGGCTTCTTCTCACTTTCACACTTCAGACTAAGTGGTTGGGGACACTCACCCCACAACAGGACCACCACTATGCACAGCCATTTCTCGTCCCACCAAGTCCCCAGCACCAGGACTTTGCTGCTTTCAGAGCTGTCCCTGACAAGATGTTACACATAGAGACTAACATTACATGCAGACAAAGAATTTGAGGAGTTGTACATTGACAGTACCTATTCATCACCATGTGTAGTGCTGTTGCCTCCATGACTTCCACGACCTCTGCGACTGCTGCTACCCTGGGCTCCACCTCTCTGGCCTCTCCTTCCACGACTAACTTCTCGAGAACTGTCATTCCCAGAAGTGTCACCTGTGTGGGCCCGGCCTCTGCGCCCATACCTTGTCTCCCTCCCCTCATCCAGGCTGACTGGGGTAGCCACCACTTCAGTCTGTACATCTGGTTCTGGACCTTCTGCAAAATTGTCAGTACCAAAATATATAAGGGAAAATTGGCTGAACACACGAGGCATTTCAGAGGAAACATTAACATTGAGTGACACTGGATCTGCTTCCTATGGTAAATTTTTAGTACTCACACAGTGTGGAACTCTAGCCTGCATCAATTCCTGCAAATCTGATGGAAGGCTCACATTACTGCCACTATGCTCCATTTCTTCAAGAAGAGCACTCAGGCCCAAAGAAAGACTTCCAGCTCGTCCTGATGCATGTGCATCTCCTGCTCCTGCAGGAGGACCAAACAACAAATGCTTGTACCAATCCATGGTCTTATGCATTGGTTGGACTGTGGTCGTTTTCTCTCGGTGAAGTAGGGTAAGGATAAAATGGTAGAAGTTGAGAAGGATATCAACATAGTTGGTGGCACTGGGCTTGCCAGAACCAGAAACCATCTCAGTGTCACCAGACAAAATGAAATAAACCTGTTGTTTAGATATAATTGGTCAGCACAAGATTCTCAAGCAGAATTCTACTTATGGCATACCAGCATTGAAACAATGGCCAAAGTGCCAGGGGTTATTTCAGTTACCTCATACATGCTCCCTAGTGCCCTTTGTGATGCATATAATTTTGCAGGCTCCCAATTCTCAAGCTCAGGGGATCCTGGAAAGGGGATGGAAGAAACAGGGCCATTGAGTGCAGAAGGACCAAAAATAATGACAATTATCCCCTTGTTGTAGCACTGTGAGTAGAATAATATGTATAACCCACAAGTGAAATACTTACAGCTGCAAGGACCTGTGAGCAAAACACATGTTGATGATGAGATCGGTCATTGTCTGGGAACAAGAACAAAGGCAAGTGGTTGAAGGGGTTGGTAGAATCAGGGATTACTCCCAAATATTCTTGAAGTTGTTCCACAGTTGGGCCATGACCCAACTTCAGCACTGGTATGCTTAGGTCCATGCCAAACAGTTGAAAACTTGATTGCCGCAAGCGGCTCATCATTTGCCGCCTTCGTGCCCCAACAGCTGAAACAAACTAGTTGTACCAGACATGCCTAATTAGTGAAAGCCACAAGGAGAATCACTAGCACATGAGTACATACCTTTGCTGACCAAGGCATAGCTCCAGAATGAGTGTGGAGCTCATTTGTTAAGATAGGATATTTCATTGTGAGAATTTTGTGGACACAGAATTGATTGAAATTTTCAACAGATGAAAACATTTCTGTTGGTGCCCATGAGTGGAAATCACTGCTGAGTTCCACCAGAAGGGAAGCTTTCGATAAAAAAGGAGAATGGAAAATGGCATAAAGGGCTGCATATTTTGTGATCGAAGTCTCAATGCTTTTGACAGTAGAGGCATCACCAGGGGTAGGGTCATCACTATCAGTGCCATTGTTGTTGGTGTCTCCAGCAACTTCGCTGTCATCAGCTTCACCATGCACATCAGTGTTGATGGGCAGATCAGACACAGTAGGTGGTTGCACTGGTGTAGAACTAGATGGTGCCTGGAAGCCACGGGATCGGAAGGCAGTAGAGCTTGGTGAGGCAGACATAGCAGTAGTACTTGTGCTAATGAACCTAGTTGTGATTAAGGCTGGGGGAAAGGAACATCCCCAGCAAGTCTCAGCTATATACATGAAGAGCACGGTATTTAGGAAACCAAACAATACACCGATAGGATCACATGATCATAGAATATGCAAGAATATCACAGGGCGCGGGTAATCGGCGTGTATGAATATAACCGGTAATATTCCCACGCGCGTACACACAATCGGTCCATCAGCACAGTATCAGATTGTACAACAGTGCTGTGGTTGTTTTATGAGTGGATAGATAGCCAAAATTAGATTGCTCACATCTAATACTACCGTACATTGAGTAAAATAGTAATATGTGGTACAGCGCCGACGGACATGGCAACGGGAAACGGAATGTGCGACAAACGGCACTGAAGATGCCCCACCCAACCTAAATGTCGCACAAGCCCAATCAACTTGATGGAAGCGGTGGGAGGAAAATGGCTTGCGGATATGAGGTAGGATGCCGGACAGGGGGAGTTTGCAACAGTTCGGCCCGACACCAAATTGCCGATGGTGATGGTGTGCAATAGTTGAAGACCCTGGAGGTGATGGCAACGGCCGTGATTTGGTGGGTGTGGGTGGTGTTGCGGCGGTAGTTGGAAGGTGCCCATGCCGGTCAGGTTGGTTCCAGGAAGGCCGGGGCATTATGATACAGTGGGTATGGAGTGGGGAGTGATGAGACAGCGGTGGGGATTCAACGTTGGTCAGCACAATGTACAGCAATGTCAAGGCAACACCTGCGATATGACACCCAATGTCCCCATGTCATACCCAGGTGAGCCATTTCACAACATACTGAATGTTACGCACCTAATACCACTGAACAACCCCTCTCCGCGGCATCGAAGTCGCCCGGCGCTCTGATCCACCTTGCCTGCAAGTGAGCAGGTACGGATTTTGGGTGAGATCTAGGTCGCACAGGGTGGGGGTGCATTGCACGGGTTGATCGATAAGATGTTGATTGTTGGATGGTGGTGAAGGGATATGCACAATTACAGATTGTGCAAGTGTGATACTAAGTTGCACAAACGATCGATCGGGTTTTGTGGTTGAGGCAAGTGGAGAGATGGAGGGAAAACGGGAATGAGATAACGTGAGAACAGCGACACTCTCTGATAAGGAAGCGACCCGGTAAACACAATGAAAGGCAAAACGGGAATGGAGGAGGATAACACCGAAAGTAGAACAGCGGATTCATTCTATGAGCCTGGTTCGGAGTCTCTCCGACGTCTCTAGCTATATATAAGAAACCTAAGGTTGACCCTGAATCAGTAAGGGCTCGCTGGCCGAGCGGTAATGTATGTATTCTTGTAGTCATAGTATATTGTGTAATACATTGTATGTCGGCCTAATGCTCCCACGGTAACTCCAAGGTCCGGTGTTCGAGTCCCAAGTACGACAATGCGATATAATAAATTACTTTTTACCGCAATACAACCCCTAGTGTTGTAATGTATTGAAACCTAATGGGTCACGTTGTAATGTATTTAACCCAATAGGCCGTGTTGCAATGGAACCAATGTATTGCAATGCTGTGGGTCATGTTGCAATGTATTGGGCCCCGGCCTCTGCCATTGCAACGTTTAAGTGTTCGATGCAACCGTTGCATCGCCCCATACCCGTTTTGGTCATTGCATCACGTTGCAATGTATTGATGCGGATTTGAACTTTTTCCGACATTCTCAGCACTTTTGCCGCTTGTACTGTATCTTTCACACTTTCCCCTCATTGGGGAGTCCCAAAAATTTTATACGCAACCATCGTTCAGTGATGGGTCATCGTACAAAGAGAGTTCAGACCCAACCATTAAGGTTGAACTAAGTCCTGCACGGTGACCATCGTTCAGTGATGCGTCGTAGCCATACAAAGAGTTCAGACACAACCATGGAGGTGGTCCGACTAGGTCCAAAATTGATACATGACCATTGCTCAGTGGCAAGGCCATTGAATAATAAGAAAAAAGAAAAAGAAATACTCGCCACATCTTGAAGTCTGGTTAAGACATCTGCTTGAAGTTCTTGAAGGAGGTGAGTGCAGCGAAGAGCACCGTGGAGAGGTCTTCGTTGGAGCAGGAAGATAGGCAAGTGCAGTGAAGAGCGTATGCCACAAAGTTGGCAAGCTCTGGGGAGGGGATAAGGGTGCTGTTGGACGGGCTTTGTTGGAGGCGAGTGCCATGACTTGCTTGAGAGGGCTTTGTTGGAGCGGGAAGGGCAGCAAGTGCGGTGAAGAGCATATGCCACAAAGTTGGCGAGCTCTGGGGAGGCGAGGCGAGTGTGGTGGAGAGCGCTGTTGGGCGGGTTTCGTTGGAGCAGGAAGGGAGGTGAGTGCAGTGTAGAGCGCTGTTGAGTAGAGCAGGAAGGGGCCGAGTGTGGTGTTTCGTCCACCGATAACCCAATAAGCTTGGACTCCGCAATAGAGAAAGATGCGAGGGAATACACCTATCAGTCTCGAAGACCTGGGCATGCAAATAAAACTGTACCGAGCATCAAAGCCGTCAATCAATATGCATTGATGAACGACCACCCGCCTTGCCCTGTACATATTCGAATTGAGAGTGGGGAACGCCCTGTGTGCTCTACAAAGGGCTTGACAGCGATACAGTGAGGGGAAGAGCGCGAAAAAAGTGATCTGAGATAGGTAAACTCGTCGGGAGCTAACATAGGCAGGTGATCAGAAAGAAGACAACTAATATATGAATCTCAGCCCCTACATCTAAATAATCCTCCCAGCCCGAGTCCTTTCTCATCTCGCATTGACACTTGATCTCTTTAGTGAATAACTCGGCACGTTCATGTGGATGCACATGAACCTGATCCTCGCTTCGAGAATGCTGCACGCATCCTTATTGAGCTCCAACTTCTTCACCTCATGCAAAACCATTAAGTTAGCAAGATCTTTCGCCTTGATAAGCTCTTGCCATAGCCGTGAGACCTTTTCGGCAGGCATCATATCCGTTCGACAAGTCTTACAGACTGACTTGACATCTCGTCGGCAGAAACACATGTAGGCATCTTCAGCATTGGATTCGTTGAACTGACAGGTTTTCTCAACAGGTGTTGAATGCAACATAACACACATGCACTTACATTTAATGAGGGTATTATCTTGTGGCCTTGGCTAACAATTTCCCGCTCCTTATAGTAGGGGTATATCGTTCGAGCGAGCCAAATAAGATGAGAGGGGTCCTGGGCACATGGAGGCACTATGAACGAGGCGAAAAGAGTTGGGGACAGGGTGGTGAAGAGCAGCTCGTACTCTGATAATGACCTTTGATATCAAGATGGAGGAAATGGCATTTCTCGTTGGTGAACTTCTCGAATAGACCCATCATGAGTTCTATCTCGTCCTCAGTGAAGACAAGAGAGTCGGTCTGAAGCAATGTCCTTGCCTCAAGTTTTGACATTGCGAGTTGGCGAGGGAATTGCGCTACTTGACCCTCGCCAAGTGCGATGTTGTTGTTCTTCCGCAGCCATTCAACATCGTGTTCATCCATGTCGTAAGTAAACCTGCCGAGAATGGCACCATCGACACACTCCTCAACCATGTCCGAAGACTTGACATAGGCTGCCAGGTCGGTCCAAACGCCTTCTGGGTAGTGCTCCAAATAGTTGTCGACGACATATCTGTAGACATAATATGGATGAAATTAAGGAATATAAACGTTAGAATGTGAATAAGTGTAGACTGATGGGTGAACGACTGCAATAAATATTGATGTGAGAGACATTGTCAGAGGAGATACATTGGTATCAGATCTGGTGGTAAAGTGTGTACTGAGACCATCGCTTTTCTTGAGGACTCTTTGGCCATGTCCTTTCTGGACAAGCTTCGTGAAGGTGTATGGCCTGAATATAGTCGTCAAGCAGGGGTAAAGCACCAGAGAACAGGGGCGTCGAAGTGATTGCTTTCTTCCATTTGGAACTGCCAAGTGCAGACTGCCTTTTCAGGATATCAGCTGCACGTTCGAGAGACCCAATGAGTTTGGATATTTCCTCATTCTTGCTAATCATCTGATCATGTAAGTCGGGCATCAGAGAACTCATAAATCATACAATATGTAGGTTCTTACCTCTTCATCGTCTGATTCATAATTAACTTCTGAGCTAGTTGGGGAAGGTGAGTCCACATCTTGGTCCACATCAATTATTTGAGGCTGCAGCAGACATATTAAATCGATGTAATGTGATCAAGGATGTGAACTAACTTTCATCTTCTTGGGCGATGCACGATCGCATGATGACGAGCGAGCACACTTCAAGTTCTTGCTGGTCAAGCAAGTTCTCCATGTGCCATTAGACAACTGTTTATGTGAGTCCATCCAAATATCGTCCCCATCTGAAATTGACCCTGCAACTTCGGATCCACCATTCCAAATGTGTGCGATTTTATAGATTGGAATCATTTGACATCGTGAAAGATTTCCAAAGAAATCTGAGGGAAGCGGCCCTTGGGCTTCCACTGCCTGGACAAGATGCTTGCACAGGTGCTGTGCCTGTAGCTCTTGAACGCCACACTGACACATCCATCGCAACATATCTGTGCCATAGTCCTTCCTGCTGGATGGTCGAGTTGCAAGGGTTACCCATGACTTTTTTGCTTGGGTTTGGAAGGAAGTCAGCAGGAGGGAGAGGCCAAGGTGACGTACTCCATCTAACTCAATGGATTTATTGATTACTTCGGGAATGACACTTGTTATCATTGTATAGATTGTTTGATCAAGCCGTGGCCAATGCATGAAGCCAAGATGAGTGTGTTTGAGGTATTGCCAGTGTTTTTCTGCAGTCATTGTTGTATGGAGATGGGGGAGGAGAGATGGAGTGCTGGATCGGGCCCACAGTTTCCACATTGCAGGTGTGTACCATGATGTCCACATGTATCCCCATATGTCTGCTAAGCCCCTTTTCTGTTAGACACTGGTCTGGGGTCGGCACCGAAGGTCGCCGATGCGGGCCGCTATTGGCCGCGATGGCCGCGATGCCTTAGACAAGGCCCGAGGGTAGGGCATTTGGCCTCAGCGACTCTAAAGGAGCGCTGTGCCCCCTAGTTGTCTCTTGGCCCTCATTTCGGACTCACTGGGGTTGCCTTGTTGGGGTCAGGAACTTAGGGGTCATGGTCACATCGATATTAGAGCTGAGGTACTATAATGTAGTATACAGGATATATATATGAAGATAGAATGAATAGAAGCGGACCCGGGCCGAAGGCCGAAGGGTCCGGAAGCAAATAGGAACAATGAGTGGGGTTGGCCGCACAGCGGCCGGCAATGACCGAGGGTCAAAACAAACAATAACAGATAAATAAACGAAGGGGTGTAGGGCCGCGATAGCGGCGATGGTATCATAGCGGAGTAGGCGATGTCACAGAGTCACGCTAGGTCGGTGCCAGAGGCGGACTCGGGGCAGGGAGGTCGGTGTGGCTGTGGGGGAGTCAGCCAAGTGTAGGGGAGCCTAGGGGCGAGTGAGGGAGTGAGCAGGGAGCCCTCAGGGAGGATAGGGCTGAGGTCGGGGCTCGTGCTAGCGCTTGCACAGCGGGAATAGGCTCGGGCGGCATCGGGACGGGCGGCTAGCGGGCCGGAATGCATGGTCGTGACATTTTCATACAAAATGTGTACATTTCGTGTACACTTTCCTCACATATCTGAGCTGCTGTTTGGGAAGAGCCATTGCGAGCAGGGAAGAAGGGATGCTGGCAGAAATGTCAAGTCACAATAGAAAGGAGTTGTTTGCGGTGAGCAGCTGGGCAAAATTCATATTCAGGGTCCTTTGATCGCTTCTCATCTGCTTCAAATGCCCAGTCAGGCCCATCCTCCTCATCCGATCCATCCGTATCAAGCTCCTCTTCTAAATTGTCATCAGCTGAGATTCTGTGAGTGTGTTAGACACTGATCCGGAGTCGGCACCGAAGGTTGCCGATGCGGGCCGCTATAGGCCACGATGGCCGCGATGCCTCAGACAAGGCCCGAGGGTAGGGCATTCGGCCTCAGCAACTCTAAAGGGAGTGCTGTGCCCCCTAGCTGTCTCTTGGCCCTCATTTCAGACTCACTGGGGTTGCCTTGTTGGGGTCAGGACTTAGGGGTTGTGGTCACATCGATATTAGAGCTAAGGTACAATAAAGTATCATACAGGATATATATAGGAAGAAGAAATGAATGGAAGCGGACCCGGGCCGGAGGCCGAAGGGTCCGGAAGCAAACAAGAAGAAGGAGCGGGGTTGGCCGCATAGCGGCCGGCAATGACCGAGGGTCAAAACAAACAATAACAGATAAATAAAGGAAAGAGCGTAGGGCCGCGATAGCGGCGATGGTATCGTAGCGGCGCTGGACTCGGAGTTGGGCCGGAGTCGGGCGCGGGGATGATAGCGGCCCTGTAGGGGCCAAGTGGGTGGGGTAGGGGAGTCGCGCTGGGCACGGTGCCGGAGGCGGACTCAGGGTGGGAAGGTTGGTGCAGCAGCAGGGGAGTCGGCCAAGTGTAGGGGAGCCTAGGGGCAAGCGGGGAAGTGAGCAGGGAGTCCTCAGGGAGGATAGGGCTGAGGTTGGGGCTCACGCTCACGCTCGCATAGCGGGAACGGGCTCGGGCGGCATCGGGACGGGTGGCTAACGGGCCGGAATGCACGGCCGTGACAGTATCCCCCTCTTAGGGCCTGAACCCTTGAAGGCCTAAGAGTGGCGGTGTCAGGAGTGCCGGCTGCAGCACAGCACCAGAGTCGGGAGAGGAGAAGGTGCGAGATGAATGCTGCCGACATCTTGGCAGGGTCTTGGTGTCCATAAAAAGACAAGGGCACGGTACCTTGCTTTGGAATCCAGTCAGCGCATGCAGCACCGAGTCCGGAATCAGCAGAGGGTACGGCAGAGGGTGTCCCACAAGGAGACAAAGCCAGAGCGCCGCAAGCGGCAGCGCAGGAAAAGCAGAATGCCTCAAACGGAGGCGAAGTCGGCACGGGATTGATATGGTACTCAAAATGGAAGTCGGAGATGGGGTCGGCGATGATGGACTGGAAGGTCAGAGGAGAACAAGCTGGTGGACTTGTCTCTCAACTCAAACTTGGCCTTCCTACCATGCTTCCTATGAGTCCAGGGATCCGGGTAGCGGAAGGGAAGTGGCCTAATCGGCCCGAAGGGTGTGGAGGCGACAGATGGAGGCCGGTTGGGCAACTCACATCATGTCCAAAGGTTCAGAGGTGCGGCACATGGAGGACAAGAGTCCACTCAACATGACCGCGGAGTTCGGGGATGCGGTGCAGGGAGGACAGAAGTCAACTCACAAGGTGGCCGCAAGCGGAGGGGTCAAATGATGACACATGGGAGACCACACAAGTGGCTCTCATAGTGCCCGAAGGAACGGAATGTGATAGAGTTCCCAGCGGTGCGGCAGTACAAGGCACGGTACCGCTGCGGCATGGTGCAAACTCATCACAGAAGGAAATGGTGAAGTTGAGACGAGGTCCTCAGAGTGCTGGAGCATGGGCCGAGGGTAGACTCGCTCAGGGTGTTCAGGTGGTTAGCCTGCCAAGGGCCGGGAATGCGCAGATTTGCGGTATTTGGTATGAGTAATCGGCTAAGTGGCAATGGCGTGACCAGGAGAATGGGGGTGAAGGACTCGGGATCCCATTCGGTGATGGCACAAGGAGGTACTCCATGCCGCTATGTTGATTACGGCGAAAGCGGCGATAGCGGGATTGACGGGATGGAGTCTTATGGCCATTTGGGGAATCGGAGTCAACTGGGGGAGCCAAACAGGCTCGGAGCGGTGTACCTAGGCGCGGGTGAAGGAAGACATCTAGTCCTCAACTGGGTTACGAGGACCCGGCCAGGTGGGTTTGGAACCGGTGGTGTTGTATCATCAGATACGGGCTCAGAGGTCATTGGGGGTTGGGATACAAGAGTCGGCCATACTAGGCCTTCTGCAATGACTGACCTATGAGGTCGGGAGAGGACTGTAGGGGTGTGCACTCAGGCACCGAAGGGTCGGGAGTGGATAGGGATGATGTCCGGGTGGTGAGGGAGGATCGGCGTCATGCACGGGCTTGCTCCAGGCTAAAGCGGTGCGGTGGTTGACAGGACGACGCGGCGAGAATCCTAGGTGAAGACCGGTCAAAGGCCAGAGGTTGTTAGGCGCGGAGTCCTTATCCCCCTCTTAGGGAAGATGTCCCATCGTCTAACTATGCTTATAGGCCGGTACCGAGTCTCCTGGGGACAGCGGCGGAACATCACGGTGTCGGGATAGTACTTCAACTATTGGACAAGCCAAAATAGCCGAAGCCGGAGGGTGCGGCGCTATCGGGATAATTCCCAATAAACTACCACGGGTGTTCGGGATTCCACACGCAGGCGGAATAGTAAAGGTTCTTCCTCAAGGTCGGTCCTAAGGTTAAACCCATGATGAAACATGGTATACCCTCGGAGTCGGCAGAGAGGTCGACAGCGATGGGGTGTTAGCCCATAATACAAGGCCGGTGACGGCCAGGTGGGGTGTCAGCCAGCGGTGGTGAAGCTGGTGACCGGTAAAGTTGGAGGGTGCGGGGCTTGGGTGCTCAGATGCTCAAGATGTGCAGCCCATAACATCAATCACTCAATGGAGTATCATGACTAGAGTCCGTGATCCTAGCGGTAGAGCGGTGAAGTCCGGCAAAGTGGAGTAGAGTCGGAGTGGAGTGTTTGGGGTTAGACTGGGTGCACCGTTATCTAGACATGGTATGTTCAAGAACCATTGCTCAACGGAGCCTCAGGGAGAACAACCTTGTCATAAGACAAGTGGGATCGCGGCCCATCCAACAAAGTTGATGACAAAGCATCGGCGAGATAGGCGAAGGTGGGTAGTCAACCAGCGGTGTGATGGCCGAAGGTGACGGGGGAAACTAAGGGTGGAAGCGGCACAAAGGCGCGCTATCCCGGGATGGTATACCTAGCATTACTAATGGAATGCCTGGTGGTCAAAGTGCATACGCGGTGAATCGGCTTGAATGCCAACCAATGGGAGTACTGCCCAAAGGTGGCCGGGGGTGCGCAGGGTACTAAACTGGAATACTCGGACGTTCAGACTGATTTACTTGCTCAAAATCCCGGTTGCTCAATGGAGCGAGGTGGGTGAGTGTAGTTGGTGTCCCAGAAACGGTAGGGTAAGGTCCATATGGTGAGGTGACATTGAAATGTCCAAATTGATTGCACCGGTAGCGTTGCGGGTTTGATACTTGTTGCGGGCCTGGATACCGGTTCGCCGGTAGTACCTCAACAACAGTCGAAGTGATAATCGGCGATGAGCCAGATCATCGGGGGGTGACAAAAATCCTCAAAGTGAGGAGGCGGTGGCCGAAAAATCGGCGAGAGGACAGAGTCCTCAGACGGAGTGGACGGCGTTCCCAAAAAGGAAACAAATGTCCCAGAAGAACAGACGGAAACAGAGAACAGAGAGACATTGAGAATGAGCGACATGTTTCAAAATGGAAGTAGACCATTAGAGAGAAACAGAAGCAGAAAGACAAAAATCGGCGAAGATATCGGCGAAATGCCGGTTTTGGTAATTAAGCCATTAACGGCGAAGGTAAAGAATTTTCGGGGAAGTCATATTTTTATTTTTGAAAATCTTAGGGACATGAAAAACAAGGATTGGGCGGGAGACAGAAGTCCCGGAAATGGAAAACAACCTAGAGCCGGGGCATGTCCCCTTGAACGGGAAATCGACCGTAGTCAAACCAAAAAAGGAAACAGAAAACGAAAACGGAAATGGAGCAGACTATTTGTTTTGTCTCAGAAGAGACACCCGGTTTGATTTCCGGAGGTGCGGCCTTGGTTGCTCAAGCCAAAGGTGCACTAACAAGAGTCTTAGGCGATTCAAAGCCGTAGACTAACGTGGGGTTGTGAAGCGGTGAGCTTCAACAACGGGTCAGAATGTGACAAAGGTCTTTGGCAATCCCTAGCCATCTAGGCTGGGCTAACCGCAGACTAACAAAAAGTTGTGAAGCGGCGAGCTTCAACAACGGCGTGGGTGTAACGGCGATCTTTGGCAGTCTTTGGTCATCTAGGCCTGGACTTGCCGCAGATTAGCGGGATTGCGGAAATGCGGGGATGGTCGGCTCCTATCGACCTAACGGGTTTCACAAGCATCTACAGATGCATCCTAGGGTACAGGATAACGGCTGAGGGTAGGCGTATGGGTACTGTCTCGCCGAGACTTTCGCCATACTCCTAACCACTCGGGCCTAACAGAATAGCGGTGTCTAGCCATATGCGGGGGTGATGGCGAACTCAACCATCAGCGGACTGAGGAGAGCTGGATGCCAGCAGGGAAAACCCATAAGGAAATCCAACCATGATGTGACCAGCGGCGCACTAAGCGTCTCCAGCGATCAATAGTCAGAAATCCGGGTGAATACCCAGCGGCTTGGAATGTGGGATTGATAACCGAAGTTAACGGTATCGCGGGTGAATGAGCGGGGGTGCCTGGATGACTGAAATGTCATGTGGCATGGCAAAGCGGGAAACAGGATGGCACGGAGACAACGGCAGCGCAAGCCTGACAAGCTGAGCACTCCCCCTGGAGATGTGCTCATTCTGCATTGGCAAACCCCCTTCCTGGGAGCAAGCCAATTGACGTCGTCTGGGTCGGAATGGATGAGGAATGCCTAAGTTAGCCTACTCCCAGGACTTTGGAAGAGGCATCGGGGTGCAAAGCGGCGGCGATCTTGAAATCAGTTGCACGCTTGCCGAAGGTTTGGATGTCGGGGTTGAAGTGGATGATGGGTGCCTATCTGGACTGCTCCCAGGACTTTGGAAGAGATGCCCACAAGGGCTAGGGGTGCCAGCAGCTTGCTAGCGGCGTCAGAGGGGTCGGATTGGAGATCGGGGTTGGTAGAAGTCAGGTTTCCAAAATCTGATCGAGGTCGGATTGGGACTGATGGGGGTCGCGATAAGACTGGATGATGGGTCAGAAAGGACAGGAAGTGGCTCCTGCTCAGGCTCGCAGATTGGGACACAATCTGTAGCACAGAGTGGTATAGCCAGAGTCGGGTTGGGACTGAAATGTTGCGCATCCAGTGAATATGGTATTCAGCGACCTAAAAACCCCATCTGAGTGCCTATCCAAGGCCCCAGAGGGTCACAGAACGCGGGTTTGAGCTACACTGGCATCAGGGACCCAAGAATCCCTACTGAGAGCAATCCAGCTTCAGTGGGAGTGGTTTTCGCGCGATTATCGGCCGTGGGAAAGATCCGTGATCGGCGATGTGGCACGGTATCGCGGGAAAGCTGAGATCGGAGTCAAAACTAGGAACGATGTTGAGACAACCTAGGGAGAGAGCTCTAATATACTGTTAGACACTGATCCGGAGTCGGCACCGAAGGTCGCCGATGCGGGCCGCTATAGGCCGCGATGGCCGCGATGCCTCAGACAAGGCCCGAGGGTAGGGCATTCGGCCTCAGCAACTCTAAAGGGAGTGCTGTGCCCCCTAGCTGTCTCTTGGCCCTCATTTCAGACTCACTGGGGTTGCCTTGTTGGGGTCAGGACTTAGGGGTCGTGGTCACATCGATATTAGAGCTAAGGTACAATAAAGTATCATACAGGATATATATAGGAAGAAGAAATGAATGGAAGCGGACCCGGGCCGGAGGCCGAAGGGTCCGGAAGCAAACAAGAAGAAGGAGCGGGGTTGGCCACATAGCGGCCGGCAATGACCGAGGGTCAAAACAAACAATAACAGATAAATAAAGGAAAGAGCGTAGGGCCGCGATAGCGGCGATGGTATCGTAGCGGCGCTGGACTCGGAGTTGGGCCGGAGTCGGGCGCGGGGATGATAGCGGCCCTGTAGGGGCCAAGTGGGCGGGGTAGGGGAGTCGCGCTGGGCACGGTGCTGGAGGCGGACTCAGGGTGGGAAGGTTGGTGCAGCAGCAGGGGAGTCGGCCAAGTGTAGGGGAGCCTAGGGGCAAGCGGGGAAGTGAGCAGGGAGTCCTCAGGGAGGATAGGGCTGAGGTTGGGGCTCATGCTCATGCTCGCATAGTGGGAATGGGCTCGGGCGGCATCGGGACGGGCGGCTAACAGGCCGGAATGCACGGCCGTGACAGAGTGAATCAGTGTTGAAAGTCCATCCACATCTACTTACCACACAATTTCTTGGCTAGCACTTTTGTAATGAGCCGCCTGACATCACTGGGCACTGAACCATCATCAGGGACTTCTTCAACTTGCTGTGATGTTGAAGGAACTTGGGTTGGTGCAACTGATTGGCCACTGATCTTAAAAGAAAGTCGGGGTATAAAGGTGCAGACAACTTTTATGTCTGCATGCCGCCTCTAATGAACTTTCAGTACTTGTCAAGATTGGAATGGAATTATGAACCACATTGGCAGGGAGTTGATCATGCTGTGCAACAGGAACAAAAATTGGATTAATAAATGGGAACTCAGCTGTTGCCATTGCTGCCTTATATGGAGCAGGTTGATGGTGCAACTTTGAAAGCCATTGTTTTATGGCTCTAAGTACATGCCAAAAACACAACTGATGCTTAGCCACAGGAAAGACTCCAGAATAGGCGTTTATTTCACTCCAATCTTTGTCCGAGTGAGTGACTTTTGCATTTATATGCCACACATCTCGGAAATGGCACAACCAAGTGGTAAGTACCCTCTCCTTACTCCCGGTTCTGACTTCTTTTGACTTGGTCCTCATGAAGCACCACCCAAGCGGCAAGCCTGAACCCCAAGCGTCGCCAAGCAACACAAATAACTCCCAATTTCCAGTTGCGCACTTCCCTAAAGGGTAATCCACCTTCAGCTCCATGTTTCAGACTAGTGAAAATTACTCACAAGTTGAGTCCATCACTAACTCTCTTATCCTCTTCCCCCATAATTCCAACACTGCCGGAATTGAGAATGCAATGCACTCATAATCACTGTTCTCGCCCAGGTCAATCATTTGCAGTGTCCCATCTGCAGCTGCTTCGGCATTCATAAGGTGAGCTCTTGAAGATATTATCGGGTCTGGATCAAGTTTCCAGTCCTTCATCTTCAGGCTCTGCAAGAAAACATATACAGAATCGTGGCTGAAAGGGGTGGTAGGGGATTTCTGACGTGTGAGGTGCCAGACCTGGCCAGAATGGCAGATAAGTTTTCCCATTAATTAGAACAAGCATTCACACACATCTTTTAATGATTTATCTTTATTTTTCTCGATGATATCCCGGGCTTCTGGTGGCAAGCGGGTTGCACGGTAAGGGATGTGATCATCAATATGCATTATGTCAATTTTAGCAGTGAGGATCCCTTGAATTGGTTGAATGGTGATGTGTAGGTGGCTTTTGCATTCAAAGTAGGCTATTGTTTGTCGGTCCCATTGCTTTGATGAGTCATTGATTTTCCGGGACTTTTGTAGCAATTGACGATCCTGTGCACACCAGTACCGAAAATGGAGTGCAGGTTGTTCTCCCTCCTTCCTAGCGCGTGTCTGAGTGTCATGATACCTAGTGTGAGTGAAGATTCCGTTCAACTGTTTCAGAAAGGAAGCTAAAGAAACCATACCGCCGAGTATAATACTACATTGGGTACTTATAATGTCGGCCTGGTTCCTATATGCGCTGATTCCTGCATTGGCATTGGCATCAGGGTCCATTTCCAGTATGTCATCGTAGCCCGGACCGGCAATTTGTATGAGTTGGGAGCCACCCTTTGGTTCAAGAAGGATGTGGTGGGTGTCAACTTCTTCATCTTTGGCCACTTCAAGCTTAGCATAGAAATCATGAAGTGTTGACAGGTTTTTAAGAGCATCCATTTTTTTTTTTGCTTATTGGAACGATGTTGGACACGCTGTATATCAAGACATATAGTGCAGCGGGAGGACAAGCTGGACTGAGTGGTTTGGAAATGGTTGAGAGGTCGAGTGTCAGGGTTCAGCACCCTGCCCTAGGGTGCCCCAGACTCCCCAACCAATCCCTTCCTTCCATTCCTTCATTGTTGCCTTGTTGTTGCCTTTCTGTGTTGTGTATCTGCACGCACGGGATAGCGTGGGAACTTTCTGAGCAAGCAGCTCGCCCAGAATGTTCCCATGGGTCACAGCCACAGTTCTGGGCAAGCAACTCGCCCAGAACGTTCCCACGCTTGGCACTGCCACCTGGATGTTCCCTCCGGGTCACACTACACAACTCTAAGAGCTGTATAGTTGTGGGCATGTGACCCATTCCTTTATATAGCAACCATGCGGGGAGATGAGACCTTTACCCTTCTTCTCATCTCATGCCCCACATAGGCAAGTGTATATATTATCTTTCCTTTTACTATACATCTCATGCCCCGCATAGTGTGAGGACAGGTTAGATGGGGGCTGAGGTCAGGGAGCCTCCGAGTCCGAGGCCGGGCCCTGACATCGAGATTGGTTGCAGCCTGTGCAGAACTTTTCACTCATGTCATGCAGTTAGGTAGTGTTTATTTCCAAGGAGCACAAGTATAGACATGGTTATAGAAATTCACGGAGGCAAAGTAGGGGAAAAAAAAAAACAATGTTTTTTTGGGGAGAGCATCTCACGTGTTATAGCACATGACCTCTGGCGACCTCCAACATCACAAACCATGGGGTGGATTTAGGATTACTGGGACCAGAAAATGGAAGGTAGCACTCCAGCTCACTCCCCAAGAGCTAGGGAAGAAAGAACAAGGGGGCTGAAAGGGTGTTGCAGTAGAACAGGTCTGTATACAGCTCCTAGAGTTGTGTAGTGTGACCCGGAGGGAACATCCAGGTGGCAGTGCCCAGTAAGCGTGGGAACGTTCTGGGTGAGTTGCTCACCCAGAACTGTGGCTGTGACCCGTGGGAACATTCTGGGTGAGCTGCTCGCTCAGAAAGTTCCCACGCTATCCCATGTGCATGGATACACAACACAGAAAGGCAACAATGAAGGAATGGAAGGAAGGGATTGGTTGGGGAGTCTGGGGCACCCTAGGGCAGGGTGCTGAACCCTGACAATCATGAGGTGGAGAGATGACTCAGAGCAAAAGGCTACAGCCCCAGTGATCAGAAGGGAGTGCTGTGCCCAGCAAGCATCTTAATTTAGCAGACAGGAAGAGAGTCAAGCAAAGAGGGGGGAATCTAGTCAATTACAAACTAAGGTATCATGTACCTGTCATATCCATCCCAACTCTGCCTAACCTCCAACCACCTCCACCATCGTTCCAGTCTATCTCCAGTCCAATTCCCTCATGTCTCCTCCTCACCTCTGCCTTACCCTCCAGTTCACCTCTGGACCACCTCCACCTCCTATCTCCAGTACCAACTCCAGTACCTCCTCCACCTATCCTATTCAATTATTAATATTTCTATCCCCCCTCAATCACTACAGACCTCCAAGGAGCCTCTGCTGTCTGCAAAGGGTTTTCCACCCCATTACCCCCTTGTCAGGGGACAACTCCCGGGTCCCCATGACCCTCCCCTATGGTCCACAGCCCTATGGTGTAACCAGCCCTATCCAGGGCACAACCTACTGTGGGTAAGAAGATGAGAAGGAAGCTAACTTCTCATCTTCCCACAGTGGCCGCAATATCAGAAAAACTTCCGGGGATACCCGGAAGTCACATGAGGAATAGGAACCGGGCCCGGAGCATGCGGCGCGTGGAGCATGCAGGGTGGAGCACACATGCAGGTCCAGGCACAGGTCTGGATGCAGGTCCGGGTCCAGGCTAGTCAGGGTGTGTGCCCTGACACCCCTGTCACTAATACCACCCTTCACCCAATTGCTCCACAGCTACTAATAAGGCGATTCTCTCATGAGCTCACTGACCTGGCTTGTGGGTAACATATAGTCTTGTTTCCCTTTGTACCTGTTATAAGAATGGAGTCTCTTGCGACCATGTCAACTGAATGTCAACCATAGCAGGCCCTCCTGTCAGGGGACAGCTCCTGGGTCCCCATGACCCTCCCCTATGGCCCACAGCCTCAAGTCTGGCCAGCCCTATCCAGGGCACAATGTGGGTCAGAGATGAGAAGGAAGTTAACTTCTCATCTTCCCACAGTGGCCACAATAGATTGAAAACTTCCAGAGATATCCGGAAGTCACATGAGACCCGAGACCCAAGGTCTGGGCCATCCGGCCGCACTGAGCATCCGGCACAGGGCATGTGTGGGAAGTGCAACAGCTGGGTGTGGGTGCAGGTGCAGGTGCGAGTGCAGGTGTGGATGCAGGTATGGGCTAGGTCAGGGTGTATGCCCTGACACCTCCTTATCTATCTCTTCCTTTCTCTTCCTTATATTTCTCCCCATTCCCCCCCCTCTTACATATCCACCCCATGCTAAGCTTTCCCCTATTGGGGTTTTGGTGCTGGCTGGTATGTTATTCCATTTCATGAGACTCCTCGCAACCTTACTCATTCAGTAGTTAGTGTCACATTCATGTACAGCTCAAGCTGAGAGAGATGAGAACTCAACTACAATCAGATACTCCTACCAACTGTGCAACTTCTGTAAACCTCCTTGTGCCAACATTGTAAATGACTGTGTACAGCTGTAAATGTCTCAGTTACCACCTATATGGGTCATCCCTACCGAGGGTGACAACTCTAGCCATAGGTCGTCAAGTTCGTGCATGACTCAACTCAGGTATGCACATACGTCTCCTGTCACAACTCATGTTGTTTGCACAGGCACAGGGCTCTCATCTGTCTCACTCCATGGTGAGGAATTGGCCAACTCTATGGATGGACTCATACATGAGTCAGGCCCACCAACATCACTGCCAGTATGCTCTCACAAGCACCAAGTAGCTGCCAACCCCACCACGTGTTGTTTGACCTTTGAACAACTACCTTCCCCATTACTGGTATGCTTGTACAAGTGCCAAGTACCTGTTGACATGATCATTGGCCGTTCGCCCAACAAACGGTCATATACCCCATTGCTGGTATGCCTGTTGAAGGAGGGAAAAGCCAGTAGTACCCCGACACCACTATATCATGGCCTACAGACGTTACCTAGCATCTGACACACAGTACCCCAGTCCCCCAAAGCTTGTTGAACCTCCCCTATCATCGTTGTATTTTTTGATAATTTTTCAGACCAGGTTACAGCCCACCCGGACATGTTACCAGGCCACTTTCACAGTATTTTCACCATAACTCCCCCAGTTCTTCTCCGATCCGGACGCACTTGGTATTGTTGGAAAGTTATCATCAAGACGAGTAGAACGAGTCTAATATCGGGAAATTTGGTGCAGCCGTTGTGGAGATCGTCGGAGTTTATCGATTGTGTGGCCGTTCCTATATATTTTTATGTTTTCTGTTGTTTCCTTTGTTCTATGTTGTTCTGTCCATTTCTATCCGTCCCTAACACCGTTGGATTTCTCGGACATTAGCTCAGTATAACTTGGGTTTATATACAAGATGTATCTAGTATGATACAGAGATTCTCCCCTCTGCTCCACTAAGTACTAGGTCCGTGTGCCTGGGGTGGTGTCTGAGTGCTTGAAGTCTTGGGGACAGTGCTTCACAGACAGTACTGCTAGCCCGTCTTCCAGGGAGGTCCACCCAGTGTTGAGATTTTTAGGCTGAGTTAGTTGGGACTGGGGCCTCAGTGAGTCCGAAACCCTAGGTGCCCTTTCCACCCCACCCCCCTTCTTCTTTCCCTTTGGTGAGGGAGCAGCTGGAGAGTGGTGAGCCCTTGACTGTGGTCCAGCCTTTCCTTCCTGCTTGCACCGTCAACCCAACATTAGGAAGCTCCTTAAGGAGCTGTCATTCCCCTTGCTACCGGTATGCTCCCTCAAGCACCAAGTACCTGTTAGCTCCCAACTCTCGACTGGTCCAGCTTGGGACATTCCCTTTACTTGTGATCCTATACATCTGTGCATGTCCCCGTCACCACAAGGTTCCAGCTTTCTGTCAGAAGCTCAACAGTCACCAGCAAAAGTTCATTACACAACTAAACCACCCTATGTACATGAGGTCGATGAACCCAAGTCGTTGTCTATAAGGACAGGAAGAAATGGGTCATCCAGGACCCATTTCTTTAACAGTACCCGTTTTGGTCTTATTTATGTATATAGACCATGTACTGTAGTTGATGGCACCTTAGTGCAAAATCAATGACCGAAATCCCCCCAGAGACCATGCCCTCCTTCTAACAAAGTTAAGGGCCACACACTGTTAATAGAACGTTGGCACAGCACTCTGCCAGAGTCGCTGAGGCTGAAGGCCCCTCCACTCGTTCTCTCCCTCCATCCTCTTTCCCAGGACAGTGTCATATCCATCCCCGGCCATCGACTCCCGGGCTCTCCGACCCCCCCGTCCTCACTCCGCTCCCCCCCTCACCAACCTCGGAGCCCCGTATTCCGCAAACCTCCCGGTGCCCCTCGATGACCACCACCCCCTCATTTCAATTTATTACCTACGCCTCCCTAAGTACGGAGCCCCGAAGACTTCCGGACAGCTCCGACGTCCGCTAGCGCACTCCCGCCTCCGCTGGGCAATACACTCGCCTGCCCTGCAGAGTCCACCTTCGGGCTTATCCCTCCTTTCCGTTTCTGGGTTAACGCCTGCCTTTCCGCTAACCCCGCGAACCGACTCGTCGGTAATATTCAGTCGGCTAATGTCTTAACCCCGTTAGCTCCGCTCTGTCCGGCTCCGCCAATTGCGGAACCGCCTCCGCTGTAACCATATATATACACTACTTGTACATAGGTTACGCCCCAGCAAATAAATCAACTAGAGTTACCCCCACTAGGTTCTAAGTGCCAGTCAGTAAGTTAGGGCACGGACATGTCACTAGGCACAGCGCTCCTGGCAGAAGTCGCTGAGGCCAAAGCCCTCCGTTACGGAGACATTCCTTCGTCTTAAAATCTGGTCTCTGACAGACAGGTCTACAACTGCACCCCACATGCTGTTTAACAGTACCTACAAGTATTGTATATATAGATACAATGGAGGCAAAGGTGGGAGGCCCCAAGAGGCAGGAGCCAGGTTAAGGTTAAGCTGACATACAGTAATATAATCATGGGTTAATAAACTAAATGGTACCCACAACTCAGGTTAATTGGAAAGGCAGAGGTCACCTAAAGCAGACATGGGGATGGTGGTCCAAAGGCAAACTTGAAGGGAAGGCTAATGAATAGCCTAGTGGAGGTGGGAGTGCACTTGTGGACATTGGAGCTGTCCGGAGGGCTTCAGGATTCCATAACTAGGGAGGCATCAGTAATATATTGAATTGGGAGGGTGGTAGGGGATGCGGAGGTGAACATGGAATTCAGGAACTCCAAGGTTGGTGTGGAAGGAGCAGAGGTTGTCGGAGATGGCCAGAGGTGATGGAAAGTGATGGATATGACAAAGTCAAGGTTTCCTCTAAAAACTTACTCTTGCAAAAGAAGGGTGTATGTTGCTAAATGAATGAAGCCAAAGAATGCAGCTCTCAATCACTTCAATCACCTCAAAAAATCCATAACAAGTCTTCCAAAACTAAACCAATTTGTCCCATATGTACAGCTATTTTCTTTTCCTACGACTCAGGATCAAACCCCTCATTCTATCCTCATTCTCCACTGCCCTGACTGCATCACCATATTTGGAATCCATTGTAAGGCTGTACCTGCTTAGAAATGTAGCCTCCCCCAATCTGCATAGGGATTGTTAGCCCATTCCTGTCACTATCAGATGATCACATACTCCATAAATATTTCCCCAACCCGATGACGTTTACCATAAATTGCTCCAATGCTAGCATGACACCTTCCCATATAAATTTTCTTATCCCAGTCCTTGAGTGGTATAGGGAGCCCCTGTTGGACATCACCATAGAGCCATTGATCTATGGCATCCTTCAAAGTCCTAACTCCTGGAATGGTGACACTTGGAGCTGGCTGAGCAGGTGGATGATGGTCTACCATCTGGTTTGCTTGAGGTGGAGGCTGGGTGGCCCTACATGGATGGGAGATGGGAGGGAGACGAGAAGGACAAGGAGTGGTGATAAAGATGTTTTGTTGATACTGAGCAGGTGGAGGTAGAGCTAAAGGGGGCATAGCCAAAGGGAAAGTGAGTTACAAGTTCTGAAAACCAAACTATTCACTCACAATGTGCTCCAGCTGCCACAACCTGACCAAGCTGCTCCATCAAAGACTGATTGTTTGTCCTCAAGTCCGAAATGAGGGTCGATATCTGTTGATTGACCCATTGGAACTGAGCACGACCTTCACCCACAGTCATTGCCTGGGAGTCAGAAGCAGCACCACCAAGAGATCCTCGATAATCAGTCTTGACTGGGGCCAATGCATCGCTGTAATCAACTTCATTATCTTGAAGAGCATCAATGGCATATTTGATGAGGGTATTTGACTGATAGAATATTGAAAGTTAAGCATTGTTTTTGGAAAGGGGGGGAGATACACTCACATCTTCACCAGCAGCCCAGCCTCCCCACCAACGACACCTCTCAAGAGACCATCGTTCCACAGTAGGGGCATGAAGCAGCCAGTATTGCACTCCACCATGTCGAAAGCAATGGGATGTGAGACCCAGGGAGTTTAGCCCAGCTGCTTTAGCATATGATTCAAGGAGCTCATTGACACTGTCATATCCCGGAATCCCGACCCCGCGCACTCCCACCACACCACACCTTCCTAACAACTTCACCATCCCCTACACCATGCCTCCCCACTCCCCAAGTCACCTTCCCTCCTGACTGTCTCAGCTCTGGTCTGGTTGCAGCACACTGAACCTTGGCCACTCCCGTCCCGGAAGCTCGGTCCCAAGTCGGAACATTTGGAGACCCTGGATTTGCTCCGATATCCCGATGGACCTCTGACATCCCGTGACATGCCCTTAAACCATTCCTCCACCCATTTCATTTATTCAAGTCACCTAACATCCTTCGGATACGCAACTCCGCTTTCGGAGCTACCTGCATCCTTCGGTGATCTCCCTCATGTTATCACTTATTAGTCACCTTCCATTCTTAGCACGACTAGCTTCTTCCTACTATTCAGTCGGCTAACCCCCTTTACCCATTTGTCTTCCCCATTCATTTTCCAGCCTCCAACTCCGCCCTCCTTGGCCCGACACCTTGGTTCCCTGTTTAAGATATCGTTCAGGACCTTTCGGTACCTCTCGGTATCATTCGGCACCTTTCGGTGTTGTCCCATTTGTCATTTCGGACTTTGACTAAAGTCCTTCCCATTCTCCTTATAAATACCCGTAGATTAGAACCTGTAGTTCCTCAGTTCTAATCTCGACTAAAATGCCACCCAAAGTCCCTCTGAGTGATTCCCGTTCCTGTTCTACAAGATACCTCAGACATAAGAAATACAAGGACTAACTGAGACGTAACGGAGGCACAGCGCTCCCTCCGAGTCGCTGAGGCCGCATCCTTCTTAGAGCCTCTTGTACCACCCAGCAGAACTGGGCTCCCTGAGAAGCTTCGGTTCACTACCGGAGCCCTCGGACCCCCCTCTAGTTGAGCCCCGCCTGCATTCAGACTCACACATTTACCCCCTTCGATCCGGGTTTTTGACAGTAGATTAGAACTCACTCTGTTACGTTCTCCTTTATGACTTCCTCTCGCTTGCGCTATGCAGCAGCGACCCTTACGAACTATACCCAACCTCTGCTACGTTAGCACGTCATTGTCGACCCACCTCTTCTGATCACCGCTTCCTAAGCCTTGGAAGACGATTGGGTTAGGCACTTTCCTCTCCCCACACTTCGTTTTTCACTCGTTGTCCCTCTCACCAACCTCGCCTTCAGCAGCTCCATTGGGATCTCTGTTCCTTCCGAACCCCCCAACTTCCGAGCAGCTTCCATAACCTTTGAAGTTACCCACCCGCTCTCTCAACTTCCGGTTACGACATAGGCTTCTGACAACGACCAACCCATCACTCTTTTACCGAACCTTCGGTTTCCACCTCCTTTACCCACACCCAGTGAACAGATCCTTACACTGTCTTACACCCTTAATTCCATGATATAGTGGCAAACACCGCTACGAACCTTTGGACCCGTAACTCAACCCAACCTAACCTCCGAACCACCGCCAGTTACCCAGAGTCACACTTCCGACGTTTTCTACTACCAACTCCTCATGTTCCTTCCTAACCAATACCGAACCTTCTTGCGCACTAGTCGGACCCTCCACGCTTCATCAGAAGTTAGAAGCTCTGAGAACAGGTTGAGCTTATGCTCTCCCTTCTCGAGCAACTACGCTTTCCTACCAAGTTGCTGGACAAAGCACTAGTGTACCACCATCGCTAGGCTCTTCTACACATATTCTGTAGCATCCTCCTACTGATGGATTGCTTAGTCTTCTACCTCCTTACCATAGTCCCTTGTTTGAAAACGCCTCCTCCGGACCCTCCGTCGGAGCTGTTATCTTTCCGCGCAGGACCGTTCTTGTCAAGTTACGATCAGGAAGTAAACCCCCACATCTTCACCTACCCTCCAACCTCTCTACTTCCACTCCTTTCTTACTTTTCTGAAAAAAGTACTAATTTTCCTGTTTCAATGTTGTTCTCAAAACCCATTACACCCACTCTTACTTTCTGAAACAACTCCTATTAGTTACCCTCTACATTAGAAATCTTTCTCTCTTCTTCCTTCAGACTCTTAACACTCTCCTGTCCTTTAGCTCTCTTCTCTATCTCGGAGAACTGTGTTCTCCCGAGATCCTCCTTTCGGAGATTCCGGTCTCTTCTAATTGGGAATCCTAGAACCTCAGGGACCAACCTTGTGCCGGCCCTACCAAAAACAACCCTGTCAGTCCCGCTATTCACCTGTTTCCGACACGGAATACTCCACTCCCGCCTAGCTATTGATGGATCACCCAGGATGACCACTCCCTTTGTCAACCAGTAAATGGTTCTTATTCTTCTACTCTAGGACACCATTGACTCTCCCAACTATCGATCCGTTGATCGACTCGGGTTTGAGCAATATTAAGTCTGTGCAAAGAACTTCCCAGTTTACCCTCCGAGATCTCACCCAGTCACTTACGGAACTGTGTTCCATGGTTACACTTCATCCGATCCACCATTAACACCTCCAATGCTACGTTAACCCACATAACGCTAAGCACTCTACCTCATTAGATTATGTTTCCTTTTTTTTCCACACCCCCCATAATTCCCGTTTTGCCTTCGGAACCCACACCGGTTGGCAAACACCCCTACCCTATACCATGGTTATCGTTACTGAACTCCGATTAAAGCCTCTAGTCTCCGAAACGCTAGTCCTTACCTCTTGCTCCGTTGAGTAATCGTTAAAATATGGGCCTAGTGCTTCTGGACTATGAAACACCTATTCCTTGTCCTTGTCATCGATACCTTACCCATTCCCTCAGGATTTCTGGACTCCGCCCGTTGCTAGGACACTAGCTCAATCTCCTGCTCCGTTGAGCGATTTGATTGGGTAGTGCTCCGAAACACAAAAGCACTTCCCGGTTCTCCTAAAGGAATACTCCATTCTGACTTAACCACCCCTTTCAGAATACCGACCATCCTGCCACTGACTTCTTGGCTAGCTTCGTTCTCCTCCATTACTTTCCCCGCTTTCCGTGATCCCCAAGAGTCCCCCGGAGATACTATGGAGCTTGACGGTCACTTCCGGACCTCTTATATAAAAAATAATAAAACCAACTATCCTTCAATTTTCCCCAACCCTAGTCATTCTCATACCCATTGATCAGAGTTGTGATCCTTCCTTCCAAGATCCTCCTAGTCTTAGGAACCAGGTACCATGCCCACATGAAGGATGAACGCTGGGACGTCCACCCTAAGAAGGGGATATGCCCGCCGTTCGCTCATTAAGGACTTCCGGTACCATTCCCACCAAGACTCACTCCGCTCTCGTCGTCCCACATTAGTCACACCCCTTTCGGTGACCCTGGGATAGACTTCGGAACCGCACAAACATCACACCATTCCTAGTGAAAGGACCCTCCAAAGCTTCCTTCATTTCAGAGATTGCTGGGTTACAGAGGAATCCCTCACTACCATTCCTTCGGATACTTGAAAAGGTCTTCCGGACCCTTCCCGGTATCATCACTCCGGAATTCCCGGAACCACTGGTTATGCACCAACTTCACTCGGTATCCCCGAATCCTTCACGTTTCGCATTCCCTCTACTGGTACCCTCAAGGCTCATTTCCCAGCCTCCTAAGAATTCCCTGGACACCGGTTGTTCATATCGGCATTCATGATCGCTTCCAAGGTCATATGCTAGAGCTTCCGTCATTTACAGTCCCCGCTCTTCTTTAAAAATTTACCTCTCAGGACCAGTTAGGGACACCTCCCACCTTACTACCCGATTCCTAGGACACACTCAGGTTGCACGGTACAAAGGGGGGGATGTCATTCATTAAATCAAAAAAAAAAAGAGAAAAAGAGGGATGAACGATGTACAACGGAGTAGTTAAGATTTTACGGATGAAGCGTCGGCAGTACTGGGCGAGCCATTGGCTGCCTCAAAACGATTGCAAGAAGTACAGTCCACCTCCTCCGGCTCCTCATCCCCCACATCCTTCTGAGGCACCATAGCCTGCCTCCCACCCACTTTGGGCTCCTCATCCCCCATAACCACCTTGTCGACAGCCGAGTTGCTGGGCTCCCTCCTCAACCTGCTGGCCAAGGCGCTGCCCATCATGGTGTTATGGATCCGGAGCTGCTTGCTGATCGCAGCAAGCCACCCCACGCCATCCCTCATCAGAGCCATCTGCTGACGGATAGCCTCCATCTGCGGCGACTCCACCTCTACATCCTCCTCCACCCTCACTCTCTTCTCGGGGCGATAGGTCAACGCAACCTCGGTGCGTTGAGGTACCCATTCGCATCGTACCTTGGCGTCATGACAACCCGCACACGACAACTTGCCCGGCCCTCCTTGCCTGGCACGCACTCAATGTGGCGCTTGAGGCACCTGGCGCACACAGGGGGCCAATCACTGGTCGATGGCATCAACATCGCAATAGATTTACGCTAATCAAAAAAAAAATCGGTCAGCGTCTTTCCACCAAACGGATGACAGACTACTGTTACTACCCACCTTCCTTGCTGCTGCCTCCTCTTTCCTCCTCTTTTTCAATGCTTCGGCGGCCCTTCTGGCTTCCTTAGCCTCCTCCCGTTCCCGTTCCTCAGCAGCCTTCACAGCTGCTCGACGATGACGATGCTCCGTCAACTTGATGACCGCCAAACGATTGTCGTCCCCTGAATCGTCCTCCAGACAAGCATCCGACCAGTCCGAGACTTGGCTGTAGTTTGACATGACATTGTGGTTGCGAAAGAGGCCGTGACCTGTTCTTTCTAGCGCGTTTTAACGTGGGAGTCAAGAAAAATAGACTCGGATTTCTCTGTGTTTTAGCCGGATCTGGCCACATGTCCTTCAAGGGTTCAGTCCTAAGAAGGGGATACTGTCATATCCCGGAATCCCGACCCTGCGCACTCCCACCACACCACACCTTCCTAATAACTTCACCATCCCCTACACCATGCCTCCCCACTCCCCAAGTCACCTTCCCTCCTGACTGTCTCAGCTCCGGTCTGGTTGCGGCACACCGAACCTTGGCCACTCCCGTCCCGCAAGCTCGGTCCCGAGTCGGAACATTCGGAGACCCTGGATTTGCTCCAATATCCCGACGGACCTCCGACATCCCGTGACATGCCCTTAAACCATTCCTCCACCCATTTCATTTATTTGAGTCACCTAACATCCTTCGGATATGCAACTCCGCTTTCGGAGCTACCTGCATCCTTCGGTGATCTCCCTCACGTTATCACTTATTAGTCACCTTCCATTCTTAGCATGACTACCTTCTTCCTACTATTCAGTTGGCTAACCCCCTTTACCCATTTGTCTTCCCCATTCATTTTCCGGCCTCCAACTCCGCCCTCCTTGGCCCGACACCTCGGTTCCCTGTTTAAGATATCGTTCAGGACCTTTCGGTACCTCTCGGTATCATTCGGCACCTTTCGGTGTTGTCCCATTTGTCATTTCGGACTTTGACTAAAGTCCTTCCCATTCTCCTTATAAATACCCGTAGATTAGAACCTGTAGTTCCTCAGTTCTAATCTCGACTAAAATGCCACCCAAAGTCCCTCTGAGTGATTCCCGTTCCTGTTCTACAAGATACCTCAGACATAAGAAATACAAGGACTAACTGAGACGTAACGGAGGCACAGCGCTCCCTCCAAGTCGCTGAGGCCGCATCCTTCTTAGAGCCTCTTGTACCACCCAGCAGAACTGGGCTCCCTGAGAAGCTTCAGTTCACTACCGGAGCCCTCAGACCCCCCTCTAGTTGAGCCCCGCCTGCATTTGGACTCACGCATTTACCCCCTTCGATCCGGGTTTTTGACAGACACTAGCTGTAGAGAATGTTGAACCCCAGCGAATGTTATGGAGGTTGAATGAGGGAAAGAGGGGAAAGTTGGGAGCCAGGACTTTTCCACCATGGTACTGAAGCTGCAGGAATGTAATCCAGTTGCAAACATGTCTGTATGCATCCACCTCAGGCATCTTGTGTGGGTCACGAAAAGTGCCATAGTCATCAAAGGGGAATGGGTATAGATTGTATGCATGACCTAAAGTTAATAACCCTCAGGTCAACCAAGCCACCAAAAATAGTGACCACTTACCACAGGTTGTATTCCCTGAGCTACCTGAGTCAAGCCGCTTCTGCCAACCCTTGCGATTCTCAAGTGTAACCTGTAGGTGTGGCAGGTCATGGTGTGCTTCTTGGTGATACCAATCCAGATGTTGGATTTGGATACTGGTGAGCTCTTCATTCCTGGACAGCAGTCAGAGATCCTCAATAAAGCAATAGGAGAATACCCATACCTTGTCCACAGGGCCCAACCAAGAGACGAAATTGCAGAGAACATCAAGTGATCACGAACAGCATCCCTTTGGGCAACATCAAGTGAATCGACTGTGGTAAGAGCCCGTTGAAACAGCACAACTGGCACTCTTGATGCTGTCACACCCTGCAACTTCTTGATATCCTCAATCCAAATAGCTCGGGCATGGTTGTGAACCCGGCCTTCAACCTTGTGCTTGTTCTTGATAGCATTAACCAGATCATGTATGACTTGAGCCTCACAAGGGTTCCCCTCACACTCATCAGGTATTGGACTTGGTTTCCAATACCCACTCTTCCCCCTATTCACATGGAATTGCATTGGCCATGGTCAAAACAATGACCAAATGGTCCACATACTGGGAAGTAAAATGCCTCTTGAATGCTGAATAGGTTACTCCTACCAGGCTGGAAGATCGTTTCTGGACAGTGACCAGGTGGGTGATATACTCGGATAGGAGTGGCACTGTCACTTCAGTTGGCTTGGCAAAAGACACCACAGCAAGAGGATGACAAAAAAGGGGGACAAGACAAGCACTAATGTCATTCCCCCTCCTAGCAGTGTACTCTTCCATCGTCTCCTTGAGCCATTCCTGCACACCTGACACAGCAGAGGCATAAGACTTTTGAGTTGACTTGGCCAGAAGATTGTCGCGGATCAGATCAGCAGATGTGATGTTTTGAGCTGGAGGTGTTGGAACACTCTTCCTAGCCACTGGTCTGGCAGATTTAGGAGCAGCAGAGGTTGGTTTTGCCTTCCCCATTGTGTGGACACAGCGATGGAGTTCCAGGGTGTAACCCAAGTGGGATGATGTAATAACAGTCAAGTGACCCACTTCGCACACACACAGAGTGCAAAGCCCTCTGCCATCTCATTTACCACCCACAATCAAGTTGTTCATATCTTTTTTAAGACTCAATTCACAGGAACATAGTTGGCTGCATGTTACTGATACCAAAATGAAACAAAAAAGTAAACAGATAATAAAGTGATGTGTTGGGGGGAGAGAAAAAAAAGATGCATGTTACTGTGTCGCATTGTCCAGCCATTCATTTTTGATGCAAGAACTTGGGTATCTGTGCACTTCGTTTTCAAGCGCACCATACATGCATTTGGTGTGGTAGGTGGGGGAAGGGAAAAACCACATGCATCGTGGTTTTCTCTGGCGCTGCATGACGGTGCGATGCGGTGGACAAAGCGTGCATGCCAATCATCCCATATCCAATCACCAATGTGTTCAGTTCACTCACCTCTTTTCTTCCAAGCATGCCGTTTAAAGTTTAAAGTGGATGGCATGATGGGGTTGATGGGTTTGGAAAGAAAGAACCATCAGTCGCCCCATCCGACCATCCAGCCATACATGGTTTTTCCACTCACCTCCCATCTTTCAGCATGCTGCGGCCCAGCCTGGCAGGCAGGGACAGACATGGATCGACTGGACGTGTTGGTTGGGGAGGCGTGGCATTGTGTGGTGTGGAACGCGTGATGGTCCATGTCGGGCGCTCTGCTCTGCCTCGTTACTCACCTCCGTGATCCCAGCGCAGCGATGACAGTGAGGTGGCTTTTGGGGGTGGGGAACCGTGATGACGACGCGCATTTCTGTTGTCAATCCAGGTCACTGTTGTGTGTGTTCTGTGTGAGCCATGTGGACTCACTGCCTTCATCTTTGCCACTCACCTTCTTTCCCTGATGTCCCTGCCTTTTTCTTCTGCGCTTCCAAGTCGAGTGTGCAGAGGGGACGAAAAGCGACGACGCGCGGGTCGCGATTCGTTGTTGTGCCGTTCCATGTGAGCCATGTGGACTCACCCTCTTTCGTTGATGTCGGCCCCTTTGTCTTCAGCACTTCCAAGTCGAGCATGCAGGAGGGGAGGGCAATGAAACGAAAAGCGATGGCATGCGGGTTGCGATTCATTGTTTGTTGTGGTTTATTTGTTTGTTTGTTCATTCGTTTTTGCATCCACGATCATGTGAGCGACTCTCCAGGAGGGATCGAAATGGGAACGCATTCGGGGGACTGAATGGAAGTGAATGGGTTGCTGAGAATGGTGACGGGCAAGTGAATGGCAGGGATTTCGTCTGAATGGGACCACCCTCGAAGCAGTTGAAACGGTCTCGAAAGGATCGACGACCTTTCCGTTATGGGCACGGCATTCCCTGGGTTCCCATACCGGGACGCATCTGGATCCGGTCAGGTTAAATCAGCGCATATAAGTACCTCCCTTTGCACCGATAATTCTTATGGGGTTTCCTAGATCGAGTTCTATACAATCCGCATCTATATACCGTGAGTATTCATCAAAGATTGAAAGATGTGTGAGGCAAATACATTGGTATTTCAGTGAGACAATCGGCCACGCAAAATCAGAAAGAAAGTTTTTCACTTACTGGGCTCTTGCTAGGCAATGGACACCGGCAGGGGGCTCAATGGACCTTTGGGCCATGGAGAAGTACTACCATGGTCATTGTTAAATACCACCCGAGGCTACGAGTATGTTGATTCAATTCAGGAGTACATGAAAATTAAAACAGTAATTTTTAAAATCGATGTTACCCAATCCTAAGCACGCGCATGCGTGCCCCCCTGCCAATTTTTTTTGGCCCAAACGAACAGTCAACGTTGACAGTTCGGATACTTCCGTGAGTGCGGGGTGTTGACTGGACCAGCACACCAAGAGGAGCACATTGTACGATTGACAGGGGGAGCAGGACTGTGCAGAATATACTTAGCACAATTCTTAGGACGAAGACAACTTGATTGCTTGCGTACCAGCGCAGAGCACATTGTTTCTTCAGGATTGGCCGGAATGGAACGGTGAATCAGGGGGTAGGGCCTGGTATCCTAGCATGACAATCAACAACCCCAGACTCGGTGCTGGCCACACGTCGAACATAAGTTGGCGAGGGCGAGCCTAAATCTCCTTGAGTAGGGTGTTCTACTGTCGTGCGAACCTGGAAACTTTTCATCCAAACCTCGCTGACGGATTTCCCTTGTGAGGCTTTAGGGGTGAGGGTGCGCGCATATCAGAGTGGTGAGTGAAACCTAAGCGGGGATTGGCCACACAAACATGCAAAGGAGAATTACCTTTGATTCGCGAGAGAGCACAAGAGGTCATTGGGGGGTTATTCCTCCAAACAGTGGTGCAAAACAGTCACAGAAGTCGCATATGTAAACCCGTCCAGATGATCCGATTATCGGCATTCGCCGTTCTCGAAAAGAGCTCACATTTGATGTCGCAGGAGTAAATTGACGAGTTGATTGTACCGGCCACGTATGTTCATGGAAAATAGAAACGTTTCGAAGGAAGCTCTGGCCCACACGTTAATTACGAATGTTGTCATTCGACAGTGAATGCGTGAGAGGCTGTACGATTTCCAGCAGAGTTGTAACGCTCCAAGGTCCTTGGGCATACCTGCGCCAGCTGCCAGGCTTCCTTGGCTGGACTAAAACAGGTCAGAGAGGGGATAGAAAAACTCAGGCAGTGTGTGTCAGGAGCGTGTCAGAAGCGTATCCGGGTGACCCGCGAGGCGTGCGAGGTCATCCGGGCTCGTAAGGTCGGAGGGGCGGGACTTTAGCTTCAGCGACTCGGGTGGAGCGCTGCGCTTCGTTCTTACGTTGGTGTCCCAATTTCAGACAGAAGCCTTACGATGAGGATAAGAGTTAGAGGGGGAATCCAAGTCGATATACGAACTGAGGTACATCCAGTGTAACCTACACGCGTTATAAACACAAGTAACTAAATGAGAGCGGCCCGGAAGGAGTGGCGGATCAAGCGCGATATTAATGAATGAAGAAAGGAACAAATAATCAATATCGGCAAACTTGGTCAACAAAAGGAAAGCAAGAAACAAAAGGAAGAACAATAGTCCGCAAGCGGACAAAAGAAAAAGAACCATCCGGCCGTCTAGCAAGCTGTCCGGCTGGCGAGCGGACAACAATGAAGCGGGCAACCTAGGTTGGAGGGTACGCGCGCGAGGGAGGAAGTGCGGATGAGGGTGACGGGTGGACGGATGGGTGGACGGATGATGATGATAGCGGGAGGGATGGACCAAGTGGCACTGGGGCGCATAGAGGGAGGTGACGGATATGTCGGGTCGTGACAGTGTGCTGAGTCCAGTGAGTCTTCACACTGATGCAATGTGAGGGCTCACAATACAGGTATGGTTGATGGAAAGATACTTGCCAGTTCTACTATCTGCTTGGCTGCGGTATTCGTATTCCTGAGGCTTCGATAGTGTAACGTGGCCAGTGCGTGAGGTAGCGTCTGCAAGAGGAAATGGGGCATGGATTCTGTAATCACTGATGAAGTTGGAATTGCGAGCGATTACGTGTCTATGGATCAACGGCTGTCTGTAAGCGCCCAAATGTGTCTAATGCACCTTTTGTACTACCTCGGGTGGGGAACAGTAGGACCCGCAGGTGAAGTTGATGGAGTCCGGGGGAAGCCGGGCGCTGTCATCCGCATGTCGTCTATACACCCCATAGGATAGAGATGATAGAGAAGGGGGGTCCTGGAGTGCGAGTGGTGCAACTAAACCTAATAACGCCCCATAGTGGAATGGAAAAAGTCACGTGTACAGCCACGAAAATTAGGAACAAATATTTCGAAACCAACTGGAGATATGTATTTCGTGAATATATAACAATTCCCGCTACGGAGTAGCGGGTCCTACGTTTTTTTCTCCCAAACTCAATTGTCCTATGCACAGGATCCTGTATGACCCCCAAACCCAGGGTCCATTCTCTGCCCCATACAGTTCTATTCCGCTCACTGCATGCTGCAGTGTAAATTATGTGGTCCTGAAATCAGAGTGTGTGGTGGGTTTACAGAGTGAGAATGAATCTCAGGCTTTGTCTCAGCCAATAGCAATGTTGAGAGTGAACATGCATGCAATTGTAAGAGTAGTGGGATCTGCCGCTTCAGGCAGCGTTCCCCAGTTATACAACTGGAGATATTGTCATGGCCGTGCATTCCGGCCCGTTCCCCGCCTGTCCCAATGCCGCCCGAGCCCGTTACCGCTATGCAAGCGTGAGCACAAGCCCCAACCTCAGCCCTATCCTCCCTGAGGACTCCCTGCTCACTTCCCTGCTTGTCCCTAGGCTCCCCTACACTTGGCCGACTCCCCCGCTGCTGCACCAACCTCCCCACCCTGAGTCTGCCTCCGGCACCATGCCCAGCGCGACTCCCCTACCCTGCCCACTTGGCCCCTACAGGGCCGCTATCATCCCTGCGCCCGACTCTGGCCCAACTCCGAGTCCAGTGCCGCTACAATACCATCGCCACTATTGTAGCCCTACGCTCTTTCCTTTATTTACCTGTTATTGTTTGTTTTGACCCTCGGTCATTGCCGGCCGCTATGCGGCCAACCCCGCTCCTTATTCTTGTTTGCTTCCGGACCCTTCGGCCTCCGGCCCGGGTCCGCTTCCATTCATTTCTTCCTCCTATATATATCCTGTATGATACTTTATTGTACCTTAGCTCTAATATCGATGTGACCACGACCCCTAAGTCCTGACCCCAACAAGGCAACCCCAGTGAGTCCGAAATGAGGGCCAAGAGACAGCTAGGGGGCACAGTACTCCCTTTAGAGTTGCTGAGGCCAAATGCCCTACCCCCGGGCCTTGTTCACAGCACCACGGCCATCGCGGCCTATAGTGGCCCGCAACAGCGACTCTCGGTGCCGACCCTGGACCAGTGTCTAACAGATATGTATTTTGTGAATATATAACAATATCATAAATAAATGATCATGTGGGGATAGTCC